GGAAGGTTGGGCAATCCTACTTCCGTAGTGATACTGCCTCGGAAACCCAAGGAGGGGTCGCTATGAGTCGGGGCCGACTCGACGGCACATAACAACAAATAACAAAGTACCACATTAGGAGCCCTGACATAGTGGTTAAAGTGCACTGCTGCTAACCAAAAGGTGGGCTGTTCAGCCTGAGAAAAATGTGGCAGTCTGCTTCCTTAAATATTTAGTCTTGGTAATCTGATGGGGCACTTCTACTGTCCTAAAGGATCGTTGTGAATCAGAATCAACTTGATGGCAACAGGTTTGGTTGGTTTAGTACTGCATTACATCAGCTTATATGTCTGTACTATTATTGTGTCTTTGCAGTCACTTCCATGTAAGCAAGAACCTTCTTGGTCCTGTTGAGTGGTATAGGTTCCAGACAGAATGAACTACACCACTTTTACAGGAGAGGAAAGCAAGGTTCAGAGAGGTCAATCCACTTGCCCAGTACTACAGAGGTAGATCCAGGTTTCGAACCAGTTCCTCGTCCATTTATCATTTTTCATGTATTCAACAAATATTTCTGACCAGATCAGAACCTGGGGATTTGATGGTAAGCAAAAACCAGACATAGCCTCTGACCTTTTTCTCAGAAGTTTCCAGGTTTTCAGAGGAGGCAGAGGAAATAATGACAAACATAACTGGTCAGGGCCAGACAGGAACAGTGTGGTAGCACCTATATGTCATGGAGCAGGGTCCTAGAGTGCCCTGCTGAGTCAGGCCTCACTCAGTTGGTCAAGCCCCCAGAGGTGTTCAAGGAAGAATAGGGTAGGAGGCTGGGGCAGGAAATGTTTATCGGCCATTATAGAGGCATTTCGATATTTTTACCACAAATACTAACTGCTGGTGTCTCTCTGGTATGCAGAACTCCGAGTGCATATTACAAGACCTCACCTCACTGGGCAGTGCAGTTTCCTGGAGATAATACTTGCCCCAAGAATTTGCCTTGTCAAAGCATTGGGGTAAGAAGGGACAAGCAGGCCTGGAAGGGGCATGAGCAAAGAGCTCCCTTACCAAATAATTACAGCAACAGTAATAGTCTTATGATTATACTGATTTGATATGAGTATGGATAATTGGGAGCTCTGGTAGCATAGTGCCTAAGGCACTTGACTGCTAACCAGAAGGCCGACGGTTCAAACCCACCAGCCACTCCTTGGAAGGAAGGCTGGGCAATCTACTTCCATAGTGATACTGCCTCAGAAACCCAAGGAGGGCTCTCTCTATGCATCAGGGCCGACTCGACGGCACATAACAAAATGGATAATTGAGTAAAAATACTTAAGTGTTTCAAGGCAACATGTTACCCCTATTTTACACAAGATATTAAGTTTCCAAGAGGCTAAGTGACTTTCCGAAGTGACAGAGCCACTTCAAATCCTGCCTCAGCTAGGAGTTAGAATGAGATGTGTGTGAAGTTCTCAGGCCACTCTTAGCAAAGAGTGTGAGTTCAATAAATGTTAATGATTTCTGATTGTTGGTGACTAGTCGTTAACGTCAAAACAAGCCACATAACAGCAGTCATCTAGATGGCCATGTTGGGCGGGTGTGGGGATGAGATCAGCTGCAGCAGAGCATGCAGTACCAGGCTGAGGTGTTTGGACCCAGTTCTGGAGAAGGAGGGCAAGAGCCTCCAAAATAAACCTCAGCTGCCCTCCCTGGACAGCTCCCAGAGATGTGAGGAGCAAACTACAGGTATCTGGGTCACATAAGCCATGATGGTAAAACCCTAGATTGTTTGCCTTTGAAAAAAGAACCTCCATCCTGCAAGAGAAATAGCTTTTGGAGATGCTAATGTATATTTAGGAGCTCTGGTAGCATAGTGCCTAAGGCACTTGACTGCTCACCAGAAGGCTGGTGGTTCAAACCC